GATCAGAGTAGTAAGATGTTTTAATGTGCAATCAGGAAGATTAGAGAACATTTTGAGGGTGAGTCCATCAGTCCCAGATGAAGATTTGTTTTCAATATCTTTGATTGTACTGCGAAGCTCTGGAACTACTACAGGCGTGAAGAAGAAACTGTGTAAGTTCACCTTAGCATTCGAGAGATATGAAAGTGGGTCCTGGGAAGGAGTTAAGGTATTCACTAAATTCTTAGCCACATCAACAAAGTAATCGTTAAGGATCTCAGGTGAAGTAGGAATTTTGCTAGATGAAGAAGCCTTATTCCTCAAGTCATTAACAATTGACCATGTTTCTTTTGCAACATTTTTGGAGTTTGCCAGCCTCCTATTATGTGTCTTTGGCGGCTTTTATAGTTTTCTGATAGAATTTTCGGTATAATTTTACGTAATCATTGAAGAAGACGCTATCCGAGAATTTTTTTAGATGAGACAAGGATCGCATATTTTTTCCAGAAGTACGCAAGCCACTAGTGGACCATGGTTTATGCCGTTTGACTTTGATGGATCTGAGAGAAAAGGATTTAGTCGCCAGGTCAGATAGGGTATTTATGAATCTAGAGAACTCGGAGTCAACATCATCTGAGTAGACGACCCAGTCAACTGATAAGCAAAGTTGACTGAAATTTAAAAAATTTCCATCCGAAAATATTCTGCCCAATTTGCGGGAAGCACCCTTACGTAAGGAATTCAATGAGAAATTCGTTAATACTGCTTCGTGGTCAGAAAACCCTGCACTAAAAATAGAACAGTTGACCAATTCTGGATCAAAAGATGAAGCGACATAGTCAATGGTAGTAGAACTAGTTTTGGTTATTCTGGTTGGAGAGTTTACATGCATCACAATCCCAAAGGAGTCGAAAATGGACTGGAGAGATTCTTGAGCAGCGCACACACAGGAAAAATTTATATTATAGTCACCACATAAAATTATTTTGCAATTCAAGGGCAAGGAGTCAAGCAAGCTCAGCAAATTCCGACAAAACATGTGCGCGTCTGTGTCCGGTGATCGATATAAACAAACAATATAAAGGTCAAAGCCACTATGATAGACGATGGAAAATTCAAATATTTTTTCCGATAATAAATTATCAAACTTGGTTATTGCCGTAAAGTCATTATTAGTGGACATTATCATAGTGCCTCCGTGAGATAAATTACTTCAATTAAATCTAGCTATTGAGGTGTAATTTTTGACAAACACAGGTTCATCCATATTTAACCAGTGTTCAGTAATGGCGATGATTTCTGGAAAATTAAGCTCTTCTAATAAAAGAAATAATTCATCTGTTTTGTGTCTTAAGGACTGAATATTAATAAGAAATACACTAAGCGTGCCATCGTCCAACCTTACAGAGGGTGCTTGATCCTCTGGTCGCGTCACCTCATCTAAAAAATTTTATTATTACGTGGAGAGCCACTAGAGAAATATTTGCTCTGACTTTCCCTAATATTCTGTAACCGGAGAAGTTTCTCGGACGAGAAGTAAGACCTGAAGACGGAGAGATCAGCGTCAACTTCAGCCAGACCAATGCCATACGCGTTGTGGAAACGGAAATATAACTTCCGCAATGAGTCCAAGTCACTAGGAAGTCCCTCCGAAGCTAACATTAATTTGATGCTGGTGTTAGTGCCAGAACACAAATGTGCACAAATGCTCTCCTTATGAACGTCACCGTCTTGTCACCCCTGTCACCGCAATATTTGACCCGAACGGCCATTATAAAATCACGTGATTGAGATTGCCTAATTATCTGAGAAATGACAGGAATTACAAAATTTCGAAAATTCCCAAAATAAAATACGAAAATTACATGTTTTCGAAATTATCAAAATAACGAAGTTTTCTGAGAAATTACAGGAATTAAAAAATTACGGAAATCTGAAAACTATAGGAATTATTCAAAAATTATGAGAAATACGAAAAAATCACGGGAATTGAAAAAATTGTGACAATTTTCAAAAAATTACGAAAATAACAGGAATTACAAAAAGTTACGGGATTCACGAATTTTCCGAAAATTGCAAAAACTAAGGAGGAATTCTGAAAGTAACGAGAAATTTTTGAGAAATGACGGGAATTTAAAAATTTTCGAAAATTCCAAGAAAAAAAAATACGGGAATTACCAATTTTTGAGAATTACAACAAACTGGGGGCGAATCATAAAGATAACAGAGTTTTTTGAGAAATTACGGGAATTGCAAAATTACGAAAATTTGAGGAACTACAGGAAATATAAAAATTGAGAGAAATAAGAAAAAATCACGAGAACTGCGAAAAAATTACGATAATTTTTGGAAAGTTACGGGATTTATGAAAAAGTTACGGGAATTACGAAAATTACGAGTTTTCCAAGAATTGCAATGACTAAGGAAGAATTATAGAAATAGGGAGAATTATCTAAGAAATTACGGAAATAATGAAAATTCCCAAAAAAAAAAATTGAAAATTACGGGAATTACGAATTTTTGAAAGTAACAAAAACTTAGGGGAAATTATAAAATAAGTAACTAAATATTTTGAAAAATTACAGAAATTAAAAAATTACGAAAATCTGAGAAACAAAAGGAATTATTCAAAAATTACGGGAATTACAGAAAAATTACGATGAATTTTGGAAAGTTACGAAAAATTAAGGAACTTTCGAAAAAGTTATGGGAATTACGAAAATTACGAGTTTTGCGAAAATTGCAAAAACTAAGGAAAAATTATAAAAATAACGAAATTTTTTGAGAAATAACGGCTTTCAACAATTTTTTTTCGCAATTTCACCTTTACTTTTCCGTCCAAACTCACTTTCTCACAATTTCAACAAATTTTCCCGCGAATTTTTCCTCACTTTTTCGTATTCTTGCCTGATTTTTCAATAAGTGTAACCTCACTTTTTCGGGATTTTCGCCTCACATTTCCGCAATTTCAACCTAATTTTTCCAAAATCTTTACTTTTGTTTTTCGTATTTATAACCTCATTTTTTCTCGATTATAACCTTGCTTTTCCGCCATTTTTACTCAACTTTTTCGCAATTCCAACATTTCCAACCTCATTTTTCTGTAATTTTTACTTCTATTTTTCGTAATTCCAACGTCACTTTCCTGCGATTTTGACACTCACTTTTTCGCAATTTTTGAAAAGTTACGGAAAATTGCAGGAATTACGAAAAATTACTGGAATTATAAAAATAAAGGGAATTACAAAAATTACAAAAATTATAGAAATCACGAAAATCACAAATTGTGAAAATTTTCCAGAAAAAAGAGGAAAGTGAGGATCTCATTAAAGCAAAATTTCAAAATTTTCCAGTGAAAAATCACTTCTGGAAAATTGACTTATTTAAGCAAAATTAAGGAAAATTCATCCTCTTACATTTTAATACAGTAAGGGGCAGGCTACTAGGTATATAGGATCCAACTTGACGAATTTACCACCGTCCGCAGCCGTTTGAACCCCTGTCACTGTCGTTCGTTCAACAACTTTGACGGTTATTTACTTCAGTACGATAGACTTAAGCACGGTCCAGACGCTACGGTTCAGCTTACTGAACCAAACGTTTTGCCTGCAACGTGTTTAACTGTATGCAGACAAAACGTTGTGCAAAACGTAGCGTCTGCGCCATGCTTTCAGATATTTCGTCAAGCTTTATTTATTTATAATTAAGTTTACGCGTGTAGATAGCTAAGCGTTGGTTATCATTGTAGACACTAGACACTTTAAGCAAACTCTAAATTTTCCTACGTATCCGTATCCGCTTCTGTAAACCCATCGACTGACGTTGACCGCCTAAAAGTCCTTTCATGGTCATACATTACGTAAACGATCGTATCCTTGGATGACACGTTTTTTAACCACAAAAAGTTTTGTTTTGATTTTGTAGCTGTGTTTGTAGGTTTTATTTTTATCTATAAGTACTGTGTTTATGTTGTTGAAGTTATTTTAGTAATAACTGACAGGTAGATCCCTCAATAGTGTCAAATGATTGAGATACGTTTTCGGATACAGATACGAGTCTAGGCCCGTAACGATACGGACAACGCAACGCAACGAGACCACCGTATTTACTATCTATCCTGCGTTAGATACGTCTGAAATTCAGGACCTGCTTAAAGTGTCTACTTGCTTATCCTGAATTTTTATATGTATCCGTCTCCGCATCGATCTGCTCACGCGCAGAATAGATACGGTGGTTTCGTAGTCCGCATAGTTACGGGCCTAGTCTCGTATCCGAAAACGTATCTCAGCCATTGTGTCTTTAGCCTTAGTTTTTTGAGTGACAGGTCTTTTCACGTTTTGTTTTTACCTGGTTGTCATGAGTTAAGGGTCATTCACATCCACTTAACTTAACTTAAGGTACGGAAAATTATAACTAACGTACAAAACTGAGAAGGTCTCTGTTAACAATGAAGTAAATTATCTTACGTGACGTATGCGCACTTATAACCTGAACTGTCAAGTCAAATTATATGCACAGAAATGGAAATTATTATTTATTGCACGGATTTTCTTAAGTTGGTTCAACTTTTGCGTGTGTCACGTTAATTTTCTTAATTTTTAAGTGGATGTAACAACTATGTGATCTTCAACTTTTTTTTATTATTAATTTTCCGTACGTCAAGTTAAGTTAAGTGGATGTAAATGACCCTTTAGCACTAAATATATTTGTCATTTTGCCACATGCGGACGCCCGCAAATTCGTCAAGTTATATCCTATATACCTAGTAGCCTGCCCCTCACTGTATAATAATAATTGTTATAACAATTGAAACCCTTATCGACTACTTTCAACTATATGAAACCTTGACAATACAAATTTTTATCAAATATTCAGAATCAAGGATATTCTGAATATTTTCGAAGAAACTAGAAATTTGTATTGCAAATGGCAATGGACACCTACAATACCCCATAACTTTCATTTTGTCATCTTCATTGTCATCCTTGAAAAAGACATTTTTCTTAATAATTTCCCAACAGACTTTATACAGACTCTGGGACCAAACCAATCCCAACCGGAATAAGCAAGTGGGTGCCTCCCGAGAAAGTACCCTGCCACTTTTGGCCGGTTTACACAACGACCATCAGAGCAGGAGAGTGATAACACTCCCGTTATGGGCCGCCCTACAAAGTCTGGGCAAAGAGGGCATCCTGTCTAGGATAAGGGAAAACTTTCTAGCCACTGAACGACTTTATGCCGCCCTAGACGTGTTTCGACACGTTAGAGTCTTGGTAAGAATTTTGATAACTAGATTTGTACTGAAAAGTGTTTTTTCTGTGACGGGAAAAAAGTAGACTTTTTGTATCTTTTGACAGGGGCAAAACTGTCACTTTTTCTCCCATGGGAAAAAAGAGTTTTTTAATTAATTAACAGGTACCAATCAAATTTTCTTTCCAAGGGAAAAAAGTAACAGGAACCGATTAATTTTCTTTCTTAAAGGGAATAATGTATAGATGGAAAATGGTGAGATTTTCCCGTCACAGAAAAAAAATAGTGTATTATATATGGGAAAAAAGTAAAATTTTAGCACTCGCTGTGTTGTCTCCCTCCGCTTCGCGGTTTTTTACCGGAACAGTTTCAAATTTTAGTATGATAAACTCCTGACTTTCCTCTCTTTTCCCCGAAAGTTTCCCAATTTTCCCATAGCTGGTTTTCCAGAAAAACATAGAAATGTAAGAGGAAGCATTTTATTCAAATTTGTTCTCGGAAGTTGATTTTCAAGAATTTCTCATGGTGTGGTTTTTCACCGGGACAATTTCAAATTTTAGTATGATAAACTCCTGACTTTTCCCCGAAAGTTTCACAATTTTCCCATAGCTGGTTTTCCAGAAAAACAGAAATGTAATGTAAGAGGAAGCATTTTATTCAAATTTGTTCTCGGAAGTTGATTTTCAAGAATTTCTCATGGTGTGGTTGTTCACCGGGACAATTTCAAATTTTAGTATGATAAACTCCTGACTTTCCTCTCTTTTCCCCGAAAGTTTCCCAATTTTCCCATAGCTGGTTTTCCAGAAAAACATAAAAATGTAAGAGGAAGCATTTTATTCAAATTTGTTCTCGGAAGTTGATTTTCAAGAATTTCTCATGGTGTGGTTGTTCACCGGGACAATTTCAAATTTTAGTATGATAAACTCCTGACTTTCCTCTCTTTTCCCCGAAAGTTTCACAATTTTCCCATAGCTGGTTTTCCAGAAAAACATAGAAATGTAAGAGGAAGCATTTTATTCAAATTTGTTCTCGGAAGATGATTTTCAAGAATTTCTCATGGTGTGGTTTTCCACCGGGACAATTTCAAATTTTAGTATGATAAACTCCTGACTTTCCTCTCTTTTCCCCGAAAGTTTCCCAATTTTCCCATAGCTGGTTTTCCAGAAAAACATAGAAATGTAAGAGGAAGCATTTTATTCAAATTTGTTCTCGGAAGTTGATTTTCAAGAATTTCTCATGGTGTGGTTGTTCACCGGGACAATTTCAAATTTTAGTATGATAAACTCCTGACTTTCCTCTCTTTTCCCCGAAAGTTTCACAATTTTCCCATAGCTGGTTTTCCAGAAAAACATAAAAATGTAAGAGGAAGCATTTTATTAAATTTGTTCTCGGAAGTTGATTTTCAAGAATTTCTCATGGTGTGGTTGTTCACCGGGACAATTTCAAATTTTAGTATGATAAACTCCTGACTTTCCTCTCTTTTCCCCGAAAGTTTCACAATTTTCCCATAGCTGGTTTTCCAGAAAAACATAGAAATGTAAGAGGAAGCATTTTATTCAAATTTGTTCTCGGAAGTTGATTTTCAAGAATTTCTCATGGTGTGGTTTTCCACCGGGACAATTTCAAATTTTAGTATGATAAACTCCTGACTTTCCTCTCTTTTCCCCGAAAGTTTCACAATTTTCCCATAGCTGGTTTGCCAGAAAAACATAGAAATGTAAGAGGAAGCATTTTATTCAAATTTGTTCTCGGAAGTTGATTTTCAAGAATTTCTCATGGTGTGGTTGTTCACCGGGACAATTTCAAATTTTAGTATGATAAACTCCTGACTTTCCTCTCTTTTCCCCGAAAGTTTCACAATTTTCCCATAGCTGGTTTTCCAGAAAAACATAAAAATGTAAGAGGAAGCATTTTATTCAAATTTGTTCTCGGAAGTTGATTTTCAAGAATTTCTCATGGTGTGGTTTTCCACCGGGACAATTTCAAATTTTAGTATGATAAACTCCTGACTTTCCTCTCTTTTCCCCGAAAGTGTCACAATTTTCCCATAGCTGGTTTTCCAGAAAAACATAAAAATGTAAGAGGAAGCATTTTATTCAAATTTGTTCTCGGAAGTTGATTTTCAAGAATTTCTCATGGTGTGGTTTTTCACCGGGACAATTTCAAATTTTAGTATGATAAACTCCTGACTTTTCCCCGAAAGTTTCACAATTTTCCCATAGCTGGTTTTCCAGAAAAACAGAAATGTAATGTAAGAGGAAGCATTTTATTCAAATTTGTTCTCGGAAGTTGATTTTCAAGAATTTCTCATGGTGTGGTTGTTCACCGGGACAATTTCAAATTTTAGTATGATAAACTCCTGACTTTCCTCTCTTTTCCCCGAAAGTTTCACAATTTTCCCATAGCTGGTTTTCCAGAAAAACATAGAAATGTAAGAGGAAGCATTTTATTCAAATTTGTTCTCGGAAGTTGATTTTCAAGAATTTCTCATGGTGTGGTTGTTCACCGGGACAATTTCAAATTTTAGTATGATAAACTCCTGACTTTCCTCTCTTTTCCCCGAAAGTTTCACAATTTTCCCATAGCTGGTTTTCCAGAAAAACATAGAAATGTAAGAGGAAGCATTTTATTCAAATTTGTTCTCGGAAGTTGATTTTCAAGAATTTCTCATGGTGTGGTTTTCCACCGGGACAATTTCAAATTTTAGTATGATAAACTCCTGACTTTCCTCTCTTTTCCCCGAAAGTTTCCCAATTTTCCCATAGCTGGTTTTCCAGAAAAACATAGAAATGTAAGAGGAAGCATTTTATTCAAATTTGTTCTCGGAAGTTGATTTTCAAGAATTTCTCATGGTGTGGTTTTTCACCGGGACAATTTCAAATTTTAGTATGATAAACTCCTGACTTTTCCCCGAAAGTTTCACAATTTTCCCATAGCTGGTTTTCCAGAAAAACAGAAATGTAATGTAAGAGGAAGCATTTTATTCAAATTTGTTCTCGGAAGTTGATTTTCAAGAATTTCTCATGGTGTGGTTGTTCACCGGGACAATTTCAAATTTTAGTATGATAAACTCCTGACTTTCCTCTCTTTTCCCCGAAAGTTTCACAATTTTCCCATAGCTGGTTTTCCAGAAAAACATAGAAATGTAAGAGGAAGCATTTTATTCAAATTTGTTCTCGGAAGTTGATTTTCAAGAATTTCTCATGGTGTGGTTTTCCACCGGGACAATTTCAAATTTTAATATGATAAACTCCTGACTTTTCCCCGAAAGTTTCACAATTTTCCCATAGCTGGTTTTCCAGAAAAACATAGAAATGTTAGAGGAAGCATTTTATTCAAATTTGTTCTCGGAAGTTGATTTTCAAGAATTTCTCATGGTGTGGTTTTCCACCGGGACAATTTCAAATTTTAGTATGATAAACTCCTGACTTTCCTCTCTTTTCCCCGAAAGTTTCCCAATTTTCCCATAGCTGGTTTTCCAGAAACACATAGGAATGTAAGAGAAAGCATTTTATTCAAATTTGTTCTCGGAAGTTGATTTTCAAGAATTTCTCATGGTGTGGTTTTTCAGCGGGACAATTTCAAATTTTAGTATGATGAACTCCTGACTTTCCTCTCTTTTGACCGAAAGTTTCACAATTTTCCCGTAGCTGGTTTTCCAGAAAAACATAGAAATGTTAGAGGAAGTATTTTATTCAAATTTGTTCTTGGAAGTTGATTTTCAAGAATTTCTCATGTTGTGGTTTTTTATCAGAATAGTTTCAAATTTTAGTAGGATGAACTCCCAACTTTCTTCTTTTCTCCCCGAAAGTTTCATAATTTTCCCATAGCTGGTTTTCTAGAAAAACATAGAAATGTTAGAGGGTGCATTTTATTAAGTATGCTGTGTTGTCTCCCTCGGCTCCGCCTCGGGAGACAAACCACACTTCCGGCTAAAATCTAGTACTTTTTTCCCTTATATAACAAATAACTATTTATTAATTTGTCAATTTTATATTTGGTGACCACATTAAACAGATAATAATAATAAAAGAACGTTAATGTATCATAGCTAGATATCTAACTGAAATTATTGTGAGTTGGCAAGGATTCCGTAAAATAAAACATAAATAATTGTTTCAGAGTCCAAAACCTGGCGGCGAAAGCGGCGCTTACACAATAACCGAACTAATTTCAAAGCCTGCAAGTATATCTGTAAGTAATAAGCCCAAATAAACTCCCACTTTACTTACACCAATTATTTTAGATGTTATTTGAATCAACTTCCTGTTGCGTAGTATTCCAATTTATTCCTGATCCCATTGAAGACAAACCTCTAACCAAAGTGCCTGCCTATTACGATAAACTAAACTCCTGGCTGGGCCAAGTATTGCAGCTAGATGCCCCCCAAATCCCTATTGACATTTGCGAATTGGACGATATAGGGGTAGTATTGCGATTTTGCCCATTTGAAAATACTTATGCGCAACAGCCCACTTTAGAAGAATTTAAATTGTTTATTCAATGCTTGGAACAACAATTGGTTATTCTTAGAGCTACAATTCACCATAAGGAAACATTTATTAAAATCGTTGAAGCTTCTCCAGTGTTGTCTATTGTTGAATTACCTGATTGGGCAGGTATGGGTGGTGTGCGATACTGTCCAGAAGGTTGGGAAGAATTACTAACCGACCAAATAAAAGAGGAACTCAATAATCTAAACATTGCCTTAGTAGATGCTTTAAGATCAACTGATTCTGCTTTCAGTTTAGGAGAAGGCTCAGACGGACTAATGTGTGTCAGATTCGGAATGCTAACCCCACAAAGTGACGTTGAAGAACTTTTGGGCCTCGTTATCCGAGTAGGCCAATCTGTAGAAGAAAACTCCAGAGTTTTAGATTCAATGAGCGAAATCGTTAAAAAGGGTATTGAAACTGCAACCAAAGACTTGCAAAAGGAAAACGAAGAAAAACTTTGGCAGGAAGGTATAATGAGGCATGTGCCTATAGTAGGCAATTTGGTTAATTGGTGGTCTCCCAAAACTAAGGAGAGTGGAGTTAGAGGCCGAAGCCTAAACCTCACTCAAGGAATTGTTGAATCTACTGAGAATATTTATAAGTATCATATGCAAATACAAACAGGTAAATGTTAATTTCTCATATAAACTAATTATTAATTCGATTATTTTAGGTTCAGTGTCTTCAACTGGAGGCAAAAATCCTCCTCAACCCCAAGTGCAAACATCCGTAAGTGCAAGTCATTCCAGGTCCAGTAGTCACGCTTCAGTGTCTAGTCAAAACGTGCGAGTGGAAACCGAATCCGCTAATCCAGTGACTGAAATATTGTCGCCCTAGTTTTAAGTGTTGAGTATTTTTTTTAAAGGCATTTTGCATTGACGACAAGTTGTTTTTCTAGTCCGCTAATCAAATTAGGTACCATACAAAAACGCAATAAATAGGGTATTGAAGTCGTTTGTGCAAATGTCCACTTATGATTATTTTTGTTGTATAAAATTTGTTTTTAAGTATTAAGATTATAGTAAAATATATAGATGATACATATGATTTGAGTTTATAATGTGATTTTGGTTTTAATTTTTGGCTGATTTTGAGAAATTCTAACAGTTTTGGGTTGAAAAGGGGATGGTAATAGGAGCTCATCATGCCGGAATTCTTGAAAATCTAGTTAATAAACTGCACCCTCTATGTTTTTCTTGAGAAACTAGCTATGGGAAAATTGTGAAACTTTCGGGGAAAAGAGAGGAAAGTCAGGAGTTTATCATACTAAAATTTGAAATTGTCCCGGTGAAAAATCACACCATGAGAAATTCTTGAAAATCAACTTCCAAGAACAAATTTGAATAAAATGCTTCCTCTTACATTTCTATGTTTTTTCTGGAAAACCAGCTATGGGAAAATTGTGAAATTTTTGGGAAGAAGAGAGGAAAGTCAGGAGTTTATCATAATAGAATTATTTGAGATTGTCCCGGTGAAAAACCACACCATGAGAAATTCTTGAAAATCAACTTCCGAGAACAAATTTGAAAAAAATGCTTCCTCTTACATTAATATGTTTTTCTGGAAAACCAGCTGCGGGAAAATTGTGAAACTTTCGGGGAAAAGAGAGGAAAGTCAGGAGTTTATCATACTAAAATTTGAAATTGTCCCCAATGAAAAACCACACCATGAGAAATTCTCAAAAATCAACTTCCGAGAACAAATTTGAATAAAACGCTTTCTTTATGTTTTTCTGGATAATCAACTATGGGAAAATTGTGAAACTTTCGAAGAAAAGAGAGGAAAGTCAGGAGTTTATCATACTAAAATTTGAAATTGTCCCGGTGAAAAACCACACCATGAGAAATTCTTGAAAATCAACTTCCGAGAACAAATTTGAATAAAATGCTTCCTCTTACATTTCTATGTTTTTCTGGAAAACCAGCTATGGGAAAATTGTGAAACTTTCGGGGAAAAGAGAGGAAAGTCAGGAGTTTATCATACTAAAATTTGAAATTGTCCCGGTGAAAAACCACACCATGAGAAATTCTTGAAAATCAACTTCCGAGAACAAATTTAAAGAAAACGCTTTCTTTACATTTTTATGTTTTTCTGGATAATCAACTATGGGAAAATTGTGAAACTTTCGAAGAAAAGAGAGGAAAGTCAGGAGTTTATCATACTAAAATTTGAAATTGTCCCGGTGAAAAACCACACCATGAGAAATTCTTGAAAATCAACTTCCGAGAACAAATTTGAATAAAATGCTTCCTCTTACATTTCTATGTTTTTCTGGAAAACCAGCTATGGGAAAATTGTGAAATTTTTGGGAAGAAGAGAGGAAAGTCAGGAGTTTATCATAATAGAATTATTTGAGATTGTCCCGGTGAAAAACCACACCATGAGAAATTCTTGAAAATCAACTTCCGAGAACAAATTTGAATAAAATGCTTCCTCTTACATTTCTATGTTTTTCTGGAAAACCAGCTATGGGAAAATTGGGAAACTTTCGGGGAAAAGAGAGGAAAGTCAGGAGTTTATCATACTAAAATTTGAGATTGTCCCGGTGGAAAACCACACCATGAGAAATTCTTGAAAATCAACTTCCGAGAACAAATTTGAAAAAAATGCTTCCTCTTACATTAATATGTTTTTCTGGAAAACCAGCTGCGGGAAAATTGTGAAACTTTCGGGGAAAAGAGAGGAAAGTCAGGAGTTTATCATACTAAAATTTGAAATTGTCCCAATGAAAAACCACACCATGAGAAATTCTCAAAAATCAACTTCCGAGAACAAATTTGAATAAAACGCTTTCTTTATGTTTTTCTGGATAATCAACTATGGGAAAATTGTGAAACTTTCGAAGAAAAGAGAGGAAAGTCAGGAGTTTATCATACTAAAATTTGAAATTGTCCCGGTGAAAAACCACACCATGAGAAATTCTTGAAAATCAACTTCCGAGAACAAATTTGAATAAAATGCTTCCTCTTACATTTCTATGTTTTTCTGGAAAACCAGCTATGGGAAAATTGTGAAACTTTCGGGGAAAAGAGAGGAAAGTCAGGAGTTTATCATACTAGAATTTGAAATTGTCCCGGTGAAAAACCACACCATGAGAAATTCTTGAAAATCAACTTCCGAGAACAAATTTAAAGAAAACGCTTTCTTTACATTTTTATGTTTTTCTGGATAATCAACTATGGGAAAATTGTGAAACTTTCGAAGAAAAGAGAGGAAAGTCAGGAGTTTATCATACTAAAATTTGAAATTGTCCCGGTGAAAAACCACACCATGAGAAATTCTTGAAAATCAACTTCCGAGAACAAATTTGAATAAAATGCTTCCTCTTACATTTCTATGCTTTTCTGGAAAACTAGCTATAGGAAAATTGTGAAACTTTCGGGAAAAAGAGAGGAAAGTCAGGAGTTTATCATACTAAAATTTGAAATTGTCCCGGTGAACAACTACACTATGAGAAATTCTTGAATATCAACTTCCGAGAACAAATTTGAATAAAATGCTTCCTCTTACATTTCTATGTTTTTCTGGAAAACCAGCTATGGGAAAATTGTGAAATTTTTGGGAAGAAGAGAGGAAAGTCAGGAGTTTATCATAATAGAATTATTTGAGATTGTCCCGGTGAAAAACCACACCATGAGAAATTCTTGAAAATCAACTTCCGAGAACAAATTTGAATAAAATGCCTCCTCTTACATTTCTATGTTTTTCTGGAAAACCAGCTATGGGAAAATTGGGAAACTTTCGGGGAAAAGAGAGGAAAGTCAGGAGTTTATCATACTAAAATTTGAGATTGTCCCGGTGGAAAACCACACCATGAGAAATTCTTGAAAATCAACTTCCGAGAACAAATTTGAATAAAATGCTTCCTCTTACATTTCTATGTTTTTCTGGAAAACCAAGTATGGGAAAATTGTGAAATTTTTGGGAAGAAGAGAGGAAAGTCAGGAGTTTATCATACTAAAATTTGAAATTGTCCCGGTGAAAAATCACACCATGAGAAATTCTTGAAAATCAACTTCCGAGAACAAATTTGAATAAAATGCTTCCTCTTACATTTCTATGTTTTTCTGGAAAACCAGCTATGGGAAAATTGGGAAACTTTCGGGGAAAAGAGAGGAAAGTCAGGAGTTTATCATACTAAAATTTGAGATTGTCCCGGTGAAAAACCACACCATGAGAAATTCTTGAAAATCAACTTCCGAGAACAAATTTGAATAAAATGCTTCCTCTTACATTTCTATGTTTTTCTGGAAAACCAAGTATGGGAAAATTGTGAAATTTTTGGGAAGAAGAGAGGAAAGTCAGGAGTTTATCATAATAGAATTATTTGAGATTGTCCCGGTGAAAAACCACACCATGAGAAATTCTTGAAAATCAACTTCCGAGAACAAATTTGAATAAAATGCCTCCTCTTACATTTCTATGTTTTTCTGGAAAACCAGCTATGGGAAAATTGGGAAACTTTCGGGGAAAAGAGAGGAAAGTCAGGAGTTTATCATACTAAAATTTGAGATTGTCCCGGTGGAAAACCACACCATGAGAAATTCTTGAAAATCAACTTCCGAGAACAAATTTGAATAAAATGCTTCCTCTTACATTTCTATGTTTTTCTGGAAAACCAAGTATGGGAAAATTGTGAAATTTTTGGGAAGAAGAGAGGAAAGTCAGGAGTTTATCATACTAAAATTTGAAATTGTCCCGGTGAAAAACCACACCATGAGAAATTCTTGAAAATCAACTTCCGAGAACAAATTTGAATAAAATGCCTCCTCTTACATTTCTATGTTTTTCTGGAAAACCAGCTATGGGAAAATTGGGAAACTTTCGGGGAAAAGAGAGGAAAGTCAGGAGTTTATCATACTAAAATTTGAGATTGTCCCGGTGGAAAACCACACCATGAGAAATTCTTGAAAATCAACTTCCGAGAACAAATTTGAATAAAATGCTTCCTCTTACATTTCTGTTTTTCTGGAAAACCAGCTATGGGAAAATTGTGAAATTTTTGGGAAGAAGAGAGGAAAGTCAGGAGTTTATCATAATAGAATTATTTGAGATTGTCCCGGTGAAAAACCACACCATGAGAAATTCTTGAAAATCAACTTCCGAGAACAAATTTGAATAAAATGCCTCCTCTTACATTTCTATGTTTTTCTGGAAAACCAGCTATGGGAAAATTGGGAAACTTTCGGGGAAAAGAGAGGAAAGTCAGGAGTTTATCATACTAAAATTTGAGATTGTCCCGGTGGAAAACCACACCATGAGAAATTCTTGAAAATCAACTTCCGAGAACAAATTTGAATAAAATGCTTCCTCTTACATTTCTATGCTTTTCTGGAAAACTAGCTATAGGAAAATTGTGAAACTTTCGGGAAAAAGAGAGGAAAGTCAGGAGTTTATCATACTAGAATTTGAAATTGTCCCGGTGAAAAACCACACCATGAGAAATTCTTGAAAATCAACTTCCGAGAACAAATTTAAAGAAAACGCTTTCTTTACATTTTTATGTTTTTCTGGATAATCAACTATGGGAAAATTGTGAACCTTTCGAAGAAAAGAGAGGAAAGTCAGGAGTTTATCATACTAAAATTTGAAATTGTCCCGGTGAAAAACCACACCATGAGAAATTCTTGAAAATCAACTTCCGAGAACAAATTTGAATAAAATGCTTCCTCTTACATTTCTATGTTTTTCTGGAAAACCAGCTATGGGAAAATTGTGAAACTTTCGGGGAAAAGAGAGGAAAGTCAGGAGTTTATCATACTAGAATTTGAAATTGTCCCGGTGAAAAACCACACCATGAGAAATTCTTGAAAATCAACTTCCGAGAACAAATTTGAATAAAATGCTTCCTCTTACATTTCTATGTTTTTCTGGAAAACCAGCTATGGGAAAATTGTGAAACTTTCGGGGAAAAGAGAGGAAAGTCAGGAGTTTATCATACTAAAATTTGAAATTGTCCCAATGAAAAACCACACCATGAGAAATTCTCAAAAATCAACTTCCGAGAACAAATTTGAATAA